ACAAGCACAAGATCAACAACAAGAACAAGGACAAGAAGAACAAGAAGGCGTAACAAAAGTGCACATGTGCCACCGCGCAGACAGTGGGCTACGGGGCGTAACGGTGTAACGTCGTGGAAAAGCAGCGGCGCAGCAGCGCAGCGGCGTAGCGGCGCAGCAGCGCACCACAAGAACACAGCCATAGCGCGGCGCAGTGAAGTAGCGGCGCAAGACAATTCAAAGACACCACAAAACGCGCGAGCAGCGCAGCGACGCAGCGGCGACAAGAACAAAACCATAGCACAGCGCAGTGGCGTAGCAGCGCAGCGGCGCAGCGGCGCAAGACAATTCAAAGACACCACAAAACGCGCGAGCAGCGCAGCGGCGCAGCGGCGCAAGACAGTTCAAGGACACAAATCGCAACCACGCTGCCGCGTTGCACCTATAATGGCCACGATCAGAAGAGTTGGATGTTCGTCTCGGTCAGTGCTTCTTGCACGCCAGCACTTGTTGAACTTGGCACCAGAGACTGCATCTCCAACCCGAATGGAGCCCGAAGCGTAAGCGGCTACCTCATTCGGGGACAGCTTGAAGTCCTAAGTCGGCTCTCTTTGCATTTTGCTTCGGGACCCGGGACCCATCCACTGAACGCCACAGTGCGTCGGAACGATCCACTTGAGCAATGAGAACCTGTTTCGACATCCAAACGAAGCTTCGTTTTGGCGAAGTCCTGGAAAACTTTAAAATAGACCTGGTCACCTGCCCGCTTTTGGATTTGCTTACTCGAAGGTATGGAGTTGCACAAGGCCAACGATTGTGGGACCATATTTTGGTGGAACTGACTGACTGGGACATGAGTAGAACAGTGAACACTGACTGAGGAAAAGGCCCCAAAGGCCTGAAATTGTAAAACCCCAAAATAGATCGACAAAGCTCTTACGTTACGTGCATTTTGTTTGGGCACGAGTTGCAATGAGAATGTGATGGAGAACTCAAGACCTGATCTCGTGAGATGACAACGCCACAGTGCTGTCAGACCGCACATCATGCTGTGACAACTATGACGTCACAATGTCATTTCATTGACAAGAACAAGAACATAATCATTCGATGCCATGACAGAACGACTAGTATGATGTCACAAAGCCCATCATGTGGCGTGCGAAACAAAACATGATTTGACAAGACAAAATATAAAAAAACATATATAACATGTTCTCCCCAGGTTTGCCAGGGAAAGCGACGTGGGATCGAGCCAGGACTTGGCCTCCGGTGACGTGTGCGAAGAAGCAATTTGGGGTGTTGGCACGTCGAAAATTGTGCTCTCGTTGTGGCAAAATTCATTTGCTGTTCCCAGCCAGTTGTCCCAATACGCATTCCACCCACTTGTTTTCCCCACCTGTCAGGCTACAGATTCATTGTTTGCTTGTTGTTTAACAATGTCCACAAAACCTTTGCGCCCAATGTAAGCGACCGATACAGATTGCAAGTCACAAGTTGGGCCTAATCGTTGTTGGGGGGGGTGACACGGGCACCATCAGGCACCCGCGACGGTGAGCAATAGGAAGTGTAACTAGACTTTGGTCATATGTATAAATATAGTGTATATATATATATTGGGGGTAGTATTGCGCGAGCTGTTGAGCTGATTGCACAATATCAAGGATTGCACTGAGCAAATGAAAGTGAAAGAACGTTGCGTGAAACAGGTTTATGTTCCGTCCCGGAGCGCCTTTCAGTATTGTTGTGATATGGCGCGTTGGGCTAGTCTTCAGATTCCCTTGTTAATAGCCAAATCTGCTCCAGAACCTCACACGCGAAAAGTAATACACACAGCAAGCTCGCTGAGCGTGGAGGGAACGCAGAAAGCCCTTTGTTTTCTGTTTAGGACCCAAATGAACAAGCAGATCAAGTAACGTGTCTGAAACCACTTAGCTCATCGCCACTTGTGGACGCAGGGCCCTCCTGCGCATCGGACATCTCTTCGTGCCTACAAACTTGAAACGAGGAACCTTTAGATCCTTTATAGTCTGTCTTGCAAGGCAGTGCTCTGTTCGAAACCTTGCTGAACAACGACTACTCCTGGCTGGTTGCAGAAAATTCTCTGAAAGAGTATCAGTCCCACCGAGCAGGGCCCACACCGCCGAAAGCTCCAAGCCCTGGTGCCATGAAGAACATGACCGAAGAGCTTGTCCGACAGAAGCTGAGCTATTCATAATTTTACATGATTTTACAGGATTTTACAGGATATTATTGTTTAATTACAGTTATCGTTTATTGTAGTATTCACGTGTATTTTTAATGTATATATTCACAATTCACACATTAGCACATCAGTAAGTATGTGTTGTTTTTTCTTTGAGACATCTCTTCACGGAAGGGCTAGTGAAAAAAGATGAACAAAGTATAGAGGCGGTTAATTCGCTTGGAAGTATTAGCTTTCCTCAAGCTCTTGCATATGCACGTCCGTTTGATATTTCTCACGCATACTCTTTGGACATGCACTTGTTCCAGGAGATTATGGTCAGTCATGTGTCTCGTCCATTGCGTGTTGACATTCTTGAAACTGAAGCTTCCTTGTAACAGGAATCGTCCCTTAACAATTCACAGGAAGAGCAAATTCATGTTCCTATGAACCAAGACTGCAGGTATGAAGGAACCACACACCTTAAACTGTTCTATCAGAAAGTACCCCAGCAATCCCAAGCATAAGTTGTTTTCACAGCAGAGAATAACGTGCATGGACTGGCCCAACAGCATCAGCTTGACAGACCCAGCCCCCGATGAAGATACACTTAGCACTAAAGCCCACCAACGCCGGCAGCGAGAAGCTCCAGCGTTGGAGGCCATGGAGCAGTGACACGCAAACCAAAAAAATACAAACATGATCGCTCCGGGAGCAACCCACCCACCCATGAGCAGAACCCCCGCAAGCGAACAGTAAGTGAAGATCGAAGGAAAAACGAAAATGGAAGCGGCAAAAAATCTAGGAATTGTTTTGACCATGCGTATGGTTCTTGCGCGTCCTTTCTGGTTTAGCTCTTTTACTAGCTACCAGCCACACTAGCTTACTTCGTTGTGCTTTTCTTTTTCTCCCCTAGGGCATACCCGCAACAAAAGAAGTCGCGAAGAAGTGCAGCGGAGCAGCACGTTCGAGTCTCCACGATCGTGCGCAAAGTGTCTTCAACTTGGTCCATCGTTTAACAGCAAGCTACAATCGTAGCATCCAGGATTACTAGACCTACAGAAACACATGACACATTAGACATTGACACTTTTAGACAAATGTGTTTCTCTTCGATTTTGTTCCTTGACCTGTCACACCTAGGACTGTTCCAACACTGACAGGGTCGTATGTCAAAGACTTGCAGTCATTAGCCGACGCCTCTTGGAAAGATTGTCTCCCTTTGCAGTTCGGCCTCTCCAAAGTGATGTGTGATCTCTTCTGCATTGATGATGCTGTGCGGAGCGGGACCTCAGCCGTCTTAAGCAGTTTGCAAAGCTCTCACCAGGTGCTGATGACGAATCTTCAATCTTTGCTCGACTATCAGACGAAATACTTGCTTTGGGCCATTGGCTCCATTGTAAGTCCTAAAGCGCTGTGGGAGGTGAAACAAAAGCAGAAGGGTTTTGAAGAGGAAGACTTTCTTTCAGCTCCAGATTTGCTGCAGGATTTGGAGGAACTGCAAGAATTTCCTGTTAAAAACCACAGTATGACAGATCACTTGATGCTGGGCAGAGAGGTTTTGGATTGGCACGAAGCCACCGCAGATGAACTCATGTCCCGCATAACAGCGATGTTTATGAATGCTTCAGAAGACAACTGGCCATACCGGGCGAGAGCAATGAAGGGTATGCTGCATCACTATGGGAAGAGTTTGAAGGAAAAGATAAGCGAAGCACAGATGCCGCTTCGACAGAGTCACCTTGGACCATCTTTTGCCCAGAAGCAAATCGACGGTAAATTGCAGCTGCTCAGAAACTTGGTTGATTCCGGTCATACTCTTTGTTTCGGCTTAGAGTCCACATCCTGCCTGAAGGTGCCAAAAGCGTATAAGAAGTGTCTTGTCGCTCCACTTCTCCACTCCCAGGTGATCAAGCCAACCAACATCGCGAGGTTGCAGAAGTGGTGCAGACCTTGCGCATGCAACCCTTGGAATTCCATTTGGAAGACCAAATTGTTTGGAATTCTATCTTGGAGTCTTTCCTCCACACCCATGAGAAACAAGATGCCTTCACAATGCTGCATTTGAAGGCTGGCCTTTCGCGGCAGCTTTTTCCTTTCATTCTCGTTGTTTCTTCCTGCAAGGCCTTGGACCAAACAGAGGATGCCCTCAACTTGGCTCAGAATTTCAGTCAGTGTGCAGGACCGAGACCGAGCGCCACCATCTCTCTTGGCTTTCAGTAACAAGTGCCACGCTAGTAGTAACAAGTGCCTTACTAGTAGTAACAAAAAGCTAGTAGAATAAAAATTAATATAAAGATGTTGCTAGGAGCAAGCAGTGCGTCGCTGCGTGAAAGCTGGCAGCGGGCTTTGCGCGCAGATGAGCGGAGCAGTGAGGCTTTGCTCGAAGCCTGGTCAGCAACGATCACCACCGCAGAACGCTTGCGCATTGCGGTGAAGGAGAAGAGATTGCACCACAAAAACGGGCCTCCGCAATGTTTTAAAATGTGTTAAACACGAATTGAAGCTTGGTCCGGCTTGGTGCTTGGGAGCACCTCGGAAAAGGTGTCAATTAGGCTGAGTGACTTGAAGTTGAGATACATTGAACACGTTGTGCCAAGTGTCGGAGTCGCGCTACTTTGTCACATTGGAGGATGAGCGCTTCCTGGAGCGTTTGCCACAGCACATTGATTTGGAAGCCGGTTCCGCTGTGCTGACAGCAAGCTGCCAGAACCATACTGCGCTGGCCCAGGAATCATACAGCCAAGCAGTGGCCTTGGTGGCTTCATCTTTGCAACCTTTGGCCACGCAGATCAACACCTTCAAGGCGGCATGTTCAAGGGACTGCAGCACACCCATACACACACCCACACATGCGGATTTGACAAAATCTACGGCAGACATGGTTTGGGCCCCCTATGGTCCCATAAGCGTGTAAAGCGGAGGGGGCGATTATGACTATCCTCAAGAAATTCCTACAGCCACAGATTTTGTCCAACGCATACGATTACAGACGTAGAGCCTGCGTATGAATCATATTTCTGCAGATCTACCTGCGAGACGGCCACTTCCGCTTGTCTGTCAGTCCCCCCGTTGTCCAACCCAACCCACTCAAGCATGACATCAGCCCACGCAACAAGTGCAGAGGATCCACTCCGTGCCACAACTGCCACAACTGTGTTGATAGACATGATCACCGTGGACTGTGGATCACTATGGTCAGCAGTACGCCATTCGCACCACTCGTCTTCGGCTGTCAAGCAAGAAAGGTAGACTGGTTGATAGACAGCAGCAATAGCTTTCAAAGCTTGGAGGGGAGGTGCCAATGTACTGGTAGCATCTCGTAGCAGAACAACGTGACATACATGCCGCAGGGAACCAAAAACTTGCAAACCTCAAGAATCGAGAGATCACGAGAGTATGTAAGGGTAGAAACGTATAAACCATTTACTGCGGAACCGACGATTCTATCCGGTTCAGAAACTGGGGGTTGGGGTGGGGATCTAATGAAATGTTTGTGTTGACGTAGCGTGGACATGCTCGTATTTCACAGACCCGATTCAGAAACTATCCGATTCAGACCCGTTCTAGGTTCCGAATCCGCGCCGTGCGTAGTTTTCCGAATCCGTGGCCACCCTAGTTTCCGAATCCGCCGTTGACCGTTTACTGCGGCTTGGTGTTTAACACTCACATGTACGTTTGTGAAAACTGTGGTGTTTTTTCCAAAGTGATGTCGTGCTTCATTTGTTGTAAAGTGCCATTATGGAGGCGCTTGTTTGACCATCACGATGTGCTACTCCTGACTTAGGAAGTTCACATAGCAATTGGAGTTTGGAGAATACGAAAGGCCAATCGGACCAATGACATGTTGAGTATACGGTATGACCGAGTGACCACTGATATCGTGGAATGCTCGCAGGTGCTGGCCACCTACCAGGACTGCATAAAGGTCGGTTGCCACGACAAACATAAAGGTACGGTAGCACGTCCTCACAGTGCATCATGTTCCACTTTTAAAGTGCGTAAACAGGTCTTGATTGTTTGAGGGGAGCTGGCAAAATTGTTGATCTCTTGAATTGGCTTTCGCATGTTGTTGACCCGATCTCAAGAAACTGTGTTATGCCCTTTCTCACCGAGGTTGGTTTTCGCATGTTTTCGCCATTTCGCCACTGTCAATGACCGCAGCTCAAGATGAGTGCCTTGCATCTTCGCAACTCTTTGTGGGTTCTCTTACTCTTGGTCTTGGACCCCTTTGCACTCTTATGGGGTCTCGTCACCCTTGCCTTCCTCTTCATCCTTCTCAAGTTTGCGGTTTGCTGTCTTCCTGAGTCTTCCTGTTTCAACATATCTCACATCTTGAAACGACTTGTTGTTTCTTTTTCTCCTCTTTTTCCTTTAAGGTTTTTTGCCCGCTCTCCCCCTCCCTATTTAGTTAAGTAAGGGAGATGTAGCTAGTAGGTACAGGGCGCTCCTATAGGTAGGATGCATGATAGCTATTGATAGCTCTCGCACTATTCATTTGGTTCCTAGATTTTTTGTGAAACCTTCCTTCACCTTCTCGCGGCGGACTTGAACCTCACCGCAAGCCGCAAGTTGCGCTTCCCTGAACCTCATCTCTCGCCAAATTTGAAATCGATCAAGCTCCTTCGATTCCTGGGTCCTTTATGCTTGGTTCTTGATGCTGACTTTGCGTGCGCGATTCATCTCGTGCATTTCTTCGTGCACTTCGATTCTCCATCCAAACGAAGACCACTTGCAAAATTCCACTTGACGTATGATTTGGCGCCAGCAGCTTGTGAATCTTGTGCGTCGACCGACGAGGAGCAGCAATTGCGGCACCGACGCCTGGAGTATTTGGCTGCGCCTGAGGCATTCATGTCTTCAGAATTGACAGCACTTTTGACGACGCTCTCTGATCCGTCTACCACACTAGGCCGGGACATTGTTGGCTCATTGCGAAAGCCAGTCGATTGGCTAGGCTAAAGTTAGTTTCTGTGAACGAAGTGAGTTATCTAGGGGGTGTGGGGGCAAGGATGCTGGTCTGCTGCTGCTGCTGCTGCCGCCGTGATCTGCGTTTGCTAGAAGCATGCTTAATTAAGGGTCGCTTTGGGCAACGTCCTTGTAGACTTTTGGTCGCACTTCTTGGTAATTGTACTTTGTCAACTGCTCCTTGCCTCTTACCTTAGTGTCTGGAAGCCATTTTTCGAGAGCGCTCATGTCACTTGTTGCCCTATCTTCGACCTTTGGGCTCGAATGTTCACCAGCGAACCCTGTTGCTACCGGTGACAGCAGCTACGTGTGTGGAAAATAGAAATAGAACTGCTTGGTTGCCTTGTGTTGGAGCCCTGCGGCGGTACCATTTTTTGTTGTGGCGGTCGAGTTCACACCTTTGGGACAAGGCGTATCCACAGTAGCTTGAATCCTCGCATTGCTGTGGACACTCCAACACTGGTAGCGGAGCCTGTCTTGGAGAGGAGCAGGCTTCCGTGGCTGGTGGGGAGCAATTGCAGGGAGCTCTTTTCGACCATTTTTTTTGGCTTTACACGTTTTTGGTTTGCCACCGGAGGTCCCGAGTGTTTCCAGGCCATGGCTACCGGCTACCTTCACAGAGCGGAAGGAGCAGACAGCCACGTGAGGCGGAGACCCAACCACCTGGACCGAGTATATCAAGCGTGGCTCACCTCCAATATGAACGCAATCCGTACAGGAAGAGGGCGTTGTTAGGAGCTGACCTTGCATTACGGTTGACAGATAGGGCGTGGTCTTTGTCTCAGCTCGGTTGATGATCGTCGACTTCACGAAGTGGACGGCCGGCATACTTTCTGGGATTTCTGGAAGGGCGTTTCCACACCTGTGCCTGGTTTGAGGACTTCTTCATTCGATTCCGCCGGTCTCCAGGAGACACGATGGCTCAGCGGTGTTTGCTTGAGCAGGGCGGTTACTTGAGGACGCGTACCTTTCTCTACTTGAGAATTAGAACCTACTTAAGGATTTACTTGGGGAATGTGCGTGAGGACGCGCACCAAGGATGAGAAGACTTGGTGGCCGGCTTCTTCTTTGGCTGTTCTTCTGCCGATGCTGCGGGCCTTTGCATTGATTGCGCTTTCCCTTTGGCCTTTGGCCTGGCTGGCTTTGGGTTCCAGTTGCATTTGCTGTAGCAGACTTCTTTGGGACAGCTGGCTTTGGCTTTTCAGGGTGTTCTTCTACTATCTCTGCTGGGCTTGCTTGACCAGGTGGAAGCTTCTGTGACGAAGCCACGACACCAATCTAAAAGCTATCCTCACAGATGTATCTGTTTGAGTTCAAATCCAGCTGCGCAAGTAAGTAAACAGTATTCAAGAAGCAAGCAATATAACGTCATGAAATCTGCAAGAAGTATAGGTGTTTGTTTGTCGATAAGCGTTTGATGCACCAAGAAGCACAAAATAACACAACGTATCAGAAATCTTGAGGGCCACTAGTTCAACGATTGTAAAGATCTTTTTGGTGATGATCCCGCAATGCGCTTCTGACGCACTCTTGATGTGTTTTCAACAGTGCGTCAGAAGTTCGTGAAGTTCATGGTTATCATCCATTAAACTCCATTAGTTTTGAAGTGCATCAGAGCGCATCGACGGTTCATCAATCTAGGTGTATGATGTGTTTGGAAGAGAATTTTCAAGTATAAGCCTACTCCCCAGCAAAGTTTCAACACATTTACAAGTTGAACCACATCCCTTTGCAAAAGCTTTGGAATGTAAAATTGCACGTTCAAGTAAAGTAGTCACGAGTAAAATCACACCATCAAGTAGAGTCTTCTCAAGTGGAATTCTACACCCTCAAATAACGTCTTCTCGCATAAAATCAAACCCTCAAATAAAGCCTTTTCAAGTAAAGAGCTTCTGAAGTAAAGGCCATGCTCAAGAAAAGAACTTGACCCGAAGTACCCCCTTCACGAACCCTAGCAAATTCACGTTACAAACAAACATTGGAATGCATTCCAGTACAGAAGCTGCTGCTTCCCTTTGCTCACGCTGTTTAAGAGTAGCTGCTCAGGTCATCGCGCACTGTCCTCAGCATGTCCATCATTGTCATAGCCGAGGCGCGGTGTTGTCTCCTCAGAACGCTTGCATTCAAAGAACACAAGCATCATTGCTTGTTGAAAAAGTATCAATCAAATATAGAGCACATAGAAAACAAACCTTTACCTCAAGTAGTGAGTTCTTCCAAGTACCTTCTGTCTGTGCTTTGCGCAAGTTGTTACACTCTTGGATCTCTTGCGTCGCCTTTCTACCGAAGCTATTTTGCTTGCGCGTTGTTCTTCTGCGTTGGGAGTCTGCGCTCAGCTGATTGTCTGTTCCTGTACTTAACACAACCCCAATGATCCTAGCCCTGGTGTCTATATTTTTACATTTTTGTCAACACTGTTTAGCGAAAGCTTTTTATCAGGAAATCTGCTACAGTCACAAATCACAATAGAAGAACATTATCAGAAAACCTTAGTCAGCAAACCTTGGTACCTAAATTGAACCCAACCCGCTTACACTTTTGGGAACCTAAATTCCTCAAATTTCACAAGCTTACTGAGATGGTGGGAATGCAAAGGGCTACGCGTGACCAAGAAGAAGAGCTTCTCCTAGCCGGGCCCCGACGAAGCCACAGTTTGACGCAGAGGCCAAGGAGATTGGATTGAGCAGGATGGTTTGCAGCGTGAAGAAGTTTGGCGCGGATTCAAAAAAGAAAGGTTGCCGTGGAGCTTCCGCAGACGATCAATGGTGAACTCATTGCCTCCATTGAAGCCCCAGGGTGCCTCCTTTGCTGTCAGCGCAAACCTTGACAGAGATGGGCGCCGTGGTGGAGATTAGGAATTGAATACGCGCGTGTTTTGACACTGGTGCAACCCATTGGGTTCCTCTCAACAGGGGACCGCGAACCACATCCCCACTTCACGCGCTATGACTATGGAGCTTCGCGTGAGAAGGCCGGCGACTGGAAGCGCCTGAAACGATGGCCGCTCAGAAGATCAAGGGGTGGAGGCCAGCGGCGTTGCTCGTCGACTCCCAGATCGAGGTGGGAAAGCAAGCTGAAGTGCCGCTGGCTCGCAGCAGCAGCAGCAGCAGCAGCAGCAGCTGTTTGGGGGGCGATTGGGCAATTCCAAAACCGCATGAGACGATGCTTGATGGAAAGACACCGAGATCACAAGATTTTATGGTACTCCGCCCTCTGAAGGTAGCAAGTACTGAAAGCTGACGTGAATGCGACGAGACTTCTCTAGCGGTAAGTTGAAGAGGTGGCATGGTCTTGGATCACAGCGGCTTCTCAGAAGGCCCTGCATGGATAGTGGTTTTGAGAGACCAGGCTGCTGAGCCAGCGCATGGCGCACGCGGATGAGCTTTCTCAGTTTTGGGCGCGCTGCAACACCGAGCTCACCAGAGCAATCCTTTCAATTCCCTGCAACGCCTGAGGCCTCAGAATGAGATCCCAACAAGTTGTTCAGGGACAACTTCCAGGCAAGACGCATCTCCATCAGAATCTACCAGCGCCGCCGTGAGGGCTGCGCCGAATGTTCCGCAGGGAGCCCTTTTGCCATGACGTGCGCCTGAATGGCGCCAGCGGCTACGCGCGTGGAAAATAGCGTTGCTTGGTTGCTTTGCGTTAGGGCCCTACGGCTTTTGTTGCGGTGGTCAAGTTCACCTCTTTTGGTGCGAGGCGTATCCAAGGTAGCTTGAACCCTTGCATTGCATTGCGGACACTTCGTTGCATTGGCTTCGCTGCTGCCAACATTAAGAACTGCGCGCGGGTTTCTACTTTTTCTCGGGTTGCTTGATTGACGTTAACGCGCATAAGCGCTGCATCATGCAAAGAACAGTGAAGTGTCAGTTGGAACTGTAGTTGCATACTTGCTGTCAACTCCAGTCATCGCTAGGCCGGGCTTTGGCCAAGCGCGCCCTGAAGGTTTTGGGCAACCCACGTTGCCCAGGAGAAGAACTTCTAGTAGAGGATGTGACTTTGCGCGCAGAGCCTGTCAAATCGCTTTTGATGTTTTGAGAATTATTCTCTCAGCATTCATCTTGGAAGCAGCTCGGCCAACAGAGCCAAGCCTGTTCCTGCTTGTTTTCAAAGGCTACTCGAAGCAAGAGCCTTCCTTTGCAGCAAAAGGCAGCCTGACAGTGCAAGATACTTTGGCCTCACGCTGGTTATTCGTGTCATGGAGCCGTTTGAAGACATATTGATTTTGTCGTTGATGTGACGCTCGCGTGTGAGTAGAGGACATCCCAGCACCCCTTTTGAACCAGTGTCACTCACAATAATTAGAAAAACAAGTAGTAACTTAATCAAGCGCACCCTCGCCTGCGTCCATGTTCATTCCATGGATAAGTCGTTTGTGTGTGTGAAGGTGAACGTTTCAGATTCCTGCGTTTGCATCGTGAGCCAGCTTCAGATCAAGAGCTGAATTATACTGCCGAGTTTACAGAGAATACTTGACAGAATTCCCACGCCTCTCATGGAATCTTTTCGACGTGCGGCTAAGTATTCACATGTGTCTAATTTTCATCCAACTGAGTAACTCATGCACGGTCTTGCTTTCGGCTTTCCGGCTACGTGCCTTTCACCCCACCCCACACACACTCTGACATTGGTTTGCTGTTAACTCAATTCCCACGGTGAGAAGGAAGGTGATGGAACAGCAAGGTGAACAGGTCCGGTGACTTGAATTGTTGAACATTGTTTCACTCGCTCTGCTGGCTGCACTGCACAAGCGGCTGAAAGCTGCGGTGGGAAACCTGTTTGTGGGGAAAGTATCGTGTGAAACCACCATGAATCAAACCAAAGGAGTGGACAGCTTGTTCAAAAGTTGTAGCAGGTACACAGGGATGATCAGTCCCCGCATCCTGGTCAGCTGCATAGAGCTTCGTTGGCGACAGCTATGCAGTGACCCTGTCGCCCCCTGCTTGCATGTCCGAAAGAAAAGTAGCACCCTATGGAACAGGGGTTGACACACACACACAAGAAGCCGTAGTCGGCGCGAATGCATGAAACTGTGACATCGTGCTTCTTTTTCTCAAAAACCGCCGGCGTGCTGTTGGGTCATGTCCTTTGTGGACATACCGCCGGATAAGCTCTTCAGCCGCTGCTGCTGCATTGTGTGGTGGAAAGGTGTATGTGTAAATGGCATGGAGTCTGGAAGCTAAGCCGGAAAGAGCCAAGCGCTGGCTACCGGCACTGGTGTGGTCCCTGATTTTCCAGGGTTGTGTGGGTTGAATGTAGGCGATGGTTCGTTGTGGTAGGTCAATGTTGAAGCCCAGGAGGTGAAAGTCATCCACTGTTTCGAGTTCCACTGGATCGCCGAAAAAGTTGTGGTGGATGAGGGTCTGGATGGCTGGGTGGGAAAGGAAGTGTTCGTTGTGAACGATGAAACGGTTGTCGACGTACCTGTAGTATGTGAAGTGGAGAGCAGTGTGCTGGAGAAGGTTGTTGTGGAGTTGATGCCAAGAGTGTTCAATGAGGGTAATGGCAACGTTGCAAAGGGCAGGAGAGAGCTGGGAGCCAATCCCAGCCCCTCGAATTTGTTTGTAGGTGTTGTTGCATGCCCAGAAAATGCAGGTGTTGAGTGCAAAAGCAACGATGGTCGTGATGTCAGAGGGTGCGTTGTGTAGGATGTCTTGTGTGGTGTCTGCCTACGTGGGAGTGGTGGAAGGGGTTGCCCGTGGCTTTGGTGTCAACTGTCAGGGTGTGTGTAGTGTTCTGGCGCTGCCATTGTTGGATCATAGAATGGACAGCATCGATAAGACGGTGTTGGGGGACTGAGTTGAAGAAGCCAACGAGGTCGTCGTTAGTGGCGTGTAAAGGAATGTCGGCCGGTGTTTGTGTGAGGTAGCAATGGAAGTGGCGCCAGAGCTGCGGGATGGACAGCTGGCCTGGATGTTGTGGGAAAAGGTGCTGCAGAATGATGTCAAGTGCTCGGCTGGTGATGCGTAAAAGGTTGCCACTGAGGGAGTGGAAGTACGAGATGACGGTGCGTCCCTTCTGCCAGCGCTTCTTTTCTTTGAGGTGGACAATGCCGCATGGGACTGTGAAGTCTTTTCTAAATCCCCATTTGTAGCGGGAGCGTAGGGTGGCCGGGATGGTGGCGGACAGGTAGTCGTGGATGTTGGAGGAATGGAGATGTGGAAGGGGTTCGAAAAGTTCTGGAGCTTGCCAGGTTTTGAGCGCTCCGGTGAAGTATTGTCTGGGGCAGAAAATGCGGAGCTGTTGGAGTTCGTGGTCCGCATGGTGGAGCACGACGTGTTCTGTGTGAAGTCGCCATTGGTGCTGAAGAAAAGGCTCCAAGTGTTGGCTGAGGGAGGTCGGAAGGCCTTGTATCCGAAGCCATTTGGTGAAAGCTGATTGAAAGGTGAGAAAGTATCTGGCCTTGCTAGGGTCGAAAGTGCTGTTCATGTTGGCTGCAAGGAAAATGCGAAGGTGTGGTGGTAATGTCAGTTGGTCGAGGGTAACAATGTAATGGTCGTTGGTGGTGATGGTGAGGAGAGTGTGGAGATGGGAGCAAGCGCACGGAAGGTCATTGGGGTCCGGAGGGGTGTGCAAGGTATCTTCCCACAGCCGGTGGTTGTGAAGCTGGGCTCTGAGTGTTTTGTGAGCAGCTTCACGTAAGCGATGTGTGGGAAGGTGGAGTGGGATGGCCAAACGCTTGTGTTGTTGGATGGTGGTCTGGAGCCACTGCTGGCAATGCTTGGTGAAATCATCATGAGCCAGGAAAGGTACTGTAAGAGGAATGTTGGGCTTGGGAGGTGTCAAATTCCTGTAGTGAAGTGCTTTGTTGATAATGCGCAAGGCTCGAGTACGACCTGGTTCTTCAAGGTTGGAGGCCATGCGTCGAATGGCATAGACTCATAGACTTCTAGGTCGGTGTGACGGCCGCTGCGAAGTTGTTTGGCTGCTTCAAAGGAGGCCAGTGTGTGCTTGGTAAGATTGCGAAGAAGAGTGAGGGCATGGTGTTTGGTGGAGGTAAATAGGTATGGTTCTCGGATTGTCTGTTGCCTTCTGCGAAGTTTTCGAAAGAGGCGCTTGTGCGTGGCTAAGCGGGAGTAGAAATGCGCCCGGTGCTTGGTGAATTGCCAGCCCTCAGCCTTGAGCTTGAGATGTTGAGAGATGAAGGGCCAGTTAAGAGGTGGCATCCAGTTGGAGATGAAGTGGTGTTCTTTGATCCAGGCCTGGTCGTAGTTGTCGTGGGAGGAGAGTTGAATAGGGGTGAAGTGGTGCATGTTGCCATGGGAGTGCCAGTAGCGTAGGGAGAGCTCCGGAAACTGGAATATTGTTTTGGAGTTGCTTGAGCTTGGCGCGGCGGTTGTGCTCTCGATGTGGTATGCCTATGGCAGTGGAACCCACATAAAAGTGGCCATGTTGATGGTAGCATCGTTGCGGTAGGATGGTGTTGAAGTGAAGTTTGACGTAGACTGAGTTGGGGGAGAGAAAGTTGTGGTAGTGGTACGTGTGAGGAAGCACGTGGAGGTGCCGTAGGCGCTGTCGCCATTGTTGGGAGCGTTGGGTAGACGATGGATAGCAAAACAGAAGGGTGATGTGAATGAGGCCGACAGCAAAGATGGCCTCTGCTCGTTCTATGTATTGGCTGTAGTGGATGAGTGTGGAAATAGGTGGTAGAGTTGTTGTAAGTGTGTGTTGTGCGGCTGGTGTCGGCTGCAAAGAGAGAGTCAGCAGGCGACAGCTGCCCCTATACTGACGATGCGCTGCAAACTTTTAATGGTGAGTTTGTTGACACGGTTCAGTGGCAGGCCATATCGAGTAGCCGCTTCTTTGAGCTGGTCAGTGGTGACCTTATTGGTTTGGAGGATGCGAAGCAGTTCTTTGGCGGATTCTTGAACTGTTGGGTCGAAAGTGCGCATCCATTGCTGCCAGCACGGGGGGCTTGTGGACTGCGGGTTCAGCTGGAGCGGCGGGTGCACCGGGGGCGGAGGAGCGGCCGGCATCCTTGCGGGGTGTAAGTTCGATGCCGTGGGCCTGGAGCTTTTCATGGGCTCGGGCTAGATCGTCTGAAGTGGCTTTGACCGTCGGCCGCTGCTGGGGCGTGGGTTTGAAGTTGTTGGGTGATGAGTGAAATCAGTGGAGCGTGAAAGGCACGGGCTTGGGTTGTTTTGTTGGGGACAGCTGTGCCTTGAGAGGCATGAATGGCTTCCGCGATCGCATCCAGGTCAAGGCGTTTGTCTCGAATTTCTTGTAAAAGGTGAATTGTGAAAACGGACTCAGCAATGCTGCGTGTCGGAATGAGGCCACAATATTTTCCGTGGCTCAACGTCCTGGTGGGGGAAGAGCCCATTTGACTATCATGACGGACTCAGCAACTGAGAAGATGAGGATTACCTTTGAGGCCCATCAGCTGGTGAGCAATTTCTTCAACCCTGATGAGGACCCCATTGGACATGTGGGCAAGGAGGCGCTCATAGTATCTGGGCAACATGCAAGATTGGACAACATTGATGACAAAGGCAGGTGGGTTGAGGATGAATCATTTAACTATTTGGGAGACATCAAGCTGCATAGGAAGGGAAAGAGTGCCAGGAGGGCATTGGAGCAATGGGTCAAGATCAGAAGGGGTCATCTTCATTTGTTGGAGCACTATGATGTTTATTCCCAACCATGCTCCAATCAGGACAATATCATTATGTCATGGGTCATTGCAAAGCAAGGGAGGATGTATCCAGTATCCATCTATCAGAGAGTATCCATCTATCAGAGGGATTGCTTTGCTGCTTCATTTAGCGATGATACATACAAGAAGATGTATGCAGCCCATCAGCTACAGTCTATCTTTCCTCCAAAGATGACAGCTATGATGCAATTGACAGATACAGACTTTAGCTATGTGTTTAAAAGCTTGATGAGGAAATCTGTTGATAAGATCATGGCAAAGGGGCAGCAGGCTATGGGCACAAGTGATGTGTACCAGATGGGTGAATGCAACGAAAACATAGAAAAGCTATTGAAAATCATAGGAAAACGCAAAAACACTGAAAAAAACACACACCTCCAGGGCGTCGTACTCTCTAGAAAAACCTGCTGCAGAAGCCTAGTTTGCTTGTAAACACGCCGCGCGCGAGGAAAGAGGGGGGAGGGGGAGGAAGAAAAGAGGGGGAAAGAAAGA